CGACGACCTAGCTGCACCGTCGACGACCATTCTAAGCTCTGAGCTAGGCAACTGGATTGAACAGAACCCGGCCGAAGGAACAGTCAACGCAAGTTTCTGTGGTTTCCTAAAAAAACGCAAGTTTCTGTGAACAGGAAACAGAAGGGGCCGGGATTCCAAATGATATTTGGGCCTGGATAATTTTTGAGAAATAACAAGGCAGCATGCATCCCCCAGCAAATTCATAAACTGATTCTGTACAAGAGTTTTTTATATAAAACACACACACCTAGCAGGACGCACCATTACAGGATACTATACGCGGATACGGATACGGCGACACGGTGTGATACGGTATTTTTCAAAAACAAGGATACACCGACATAGCAAGTATATAAATATACCAAAAAAATCAGAAGTATCGACGAAGGCCTTGTTCGCTTGAACTTATCAACCGGACCGTTTTAGCGAAATAACAGTGTTTTTCTCTCACAGCAAATCAGTATTAGCATCAGCATCAGCCGTTTTTCTAGCCAGCCGAACAGGGCCGAAATATCGCGAATGAATATACCAAAAAATATCAGAAGTATCAGAAGTATTGATGATATTTCCCGATACCGTGTCGGAGTTATCCGATACATATCGCGATACCGATACGCAACCTGGGTGAAGTATCGGGGTATCCTAGACACAGACACACACAGCAGCGGTCGTCGTTCTCTGCAAATATATAAATAAAATCATCGCCATCATGCATGCCGATGCGATGCGAGGAGGTTAGTTGTAATGCGCGATGACTCGTTATGCTGTCATTCACCTCCTGCAATATTCAGAGGGACGACGGCAGGGGAAAAGGAGATTCATCAAACTCAAAGTGCAGGTCGGTCTGTTAGATTAACAAGCTCAATCAGTGAGCTCCATGGGCTGTAAAGCTCGTATATACATATATATTTATAGCAACATACATCAACTTGGAACATTAGTCCAAGCAACAAATTGGTTGGAGAAAACCTTGGCCACTTTCACCAGCTAGCTAGTTGCCTAGCTTACGCATACGATTGATTTTGTTACGCATCAGTTGTGCCCCGTTTCTGATGTTTTTTTTAATTAATGTCCTGATCACCTTTTTCCCCCTATGAACTGATTATTTGGGGGCATATATATATGATATACACTACACGTATTATTACTATCATCGTGAAAAGCATGCGCACTAACGCTAAGCAAGAACATGAGGGCGTAACGGGGCAGTTGTTTGCTTGCTTGCAGTTGCAGCGCTGACGAATCTCTCCAAACAGTTGGTCAGTGGTCAAATCCACGCGGGGAGAAAATAATTCCAAATGATGGATCCACGCGGTGAGACACAAAAAATAATTGGGGCTGTGTGCGCTGCAGCCGTTTATCTTGCTAAGGTATACCCTTTACCTACTACTCTCTTGGCTCCAAATCATAAGTTAATTTAACATTTTTAATATATCCATTTTATTATGCATCTAAATATAACATATGTTTAGATACATAGCAAACTCTATGTACCCAAAAAAAAAGCAAAACAATTTATAATTTAGAACAGGGGTAGTAGAAGGTAATACCTCAAATAAATCTGAGTTGTTAATTTTTGAATTTTGTTTATTACTTAATAAATTAAAAATCTAGAAAACAAAAATACTTCTTCCGCCTCCCCTAATGGCCCTGTTCGCTTCTCTTATAATACATCTTTTTTAGCTTGTTTTTTCAGCCAGAATAGTGTTTCGGCTTGTTTTTTCAGCGAAGCGAACGGGGCCAATGACGGGAGGGGAAATTCCTTTTAAAACATGCATGCGGATTTCCCTAATCACGGGAGATATTAAAAACATGCATGCCGATTCCCCTAATCACAGGAGAATACAGAAGCGATTCCTTTCGATTTTTTAATTACTTATTAAAAATTAAAGAATCTAGAAAAACAAAAATACTTCTTCCGCATCCCCTAATAACGGGAGGGGAATTCCTTTAAAAACATGCATGCCGGTTCCCCTAATCATGGGAGATACAAAATCATTTGATATATTTTGCTTTCTATAAATATTCTCTCCGTCATAAAAATAGTGTATTTTCATATATATCCTAAGTCAACTCACCTCATGTTTGACTAACATTATAGGAAAACATATTAACTTCTACCACACCAAAAAGGTAAGTTGTAAAAATACATTCCATAATGTTTCTAACGGAGCTTATATGATGTAAAAAATATTATTGTTCTTTTCTATAAATTTGATCAAACTTAAAATAGATTGATTTAGGACAAATGAAAGAGACAATTATTTCCTTGCTTTGTGTACGTTGTCTTGGTGAACTATTATGTACTCTCTCCGTTCCTAAATAAATCAATTCCTTGAATGTCAAATTATCTTAAGTTTAACTAATTTTATAGGAAAGAGTAATAACATCTATGACATAAAATTAGCACATTATAAAAATATGTTCTATGGTATATCTAATGATACTAATTTGATGTCATAAATCTTGATGGATTTTTTTTGAAAATTTGGTTGAAATCGAAAAAGTTTGACTTACAACTCTAGAAATCTATATTTCAGGGACAGAGTGAAGAGTGAGCACTAGGCTAGAAAATCAAGAGGATAGATAATATGGATACGGCCGTGCATGGAAATGGGTTTGACGTCTGTCCGTGCCGTCGTCGTCGTCGTCGCATTGATCAAGTGTATCCATATAGATGACGATGAGACAGGGGACCTAGCTAGCTGATATAGAGTGAGATGAGGAGTCCAACAATACGGCCAGCCGTGCGACATGGATAGGGCTATGGTTTCTCGATGGCGTGCCTAATCGTTTCCTGCCCAATCTTTTGCAGATCAAATGGCCACGATCAGTCGATGTGATTGTTATTGGTATTGTTATTGTTGTTATCATCATTACCATATTAGAATGTTTGGCAAAAAAAACAAGAATATATGTTACATGACTCTTAACATTTAGAAGAATTTAGCATATCTCAGTCAGATTCTTTGTGGTTGAATATGTTTTCCTACCTAGGTTAAGTTCTCAACTTGACACGTGCATTCGCATTTATCTGAATTTATTCTAGAATTTAATGATATTGTTCGATTAGCAGCGAAGATTTAATGAATTTCGGTGTTTTTGGAGGTGAGTGAAAAAAATTGTTTAGAAATACTAGTATTTAGGCCTCGTTCGCTTCGCTGAAAAAACAAGCCGAAATACTGTTCTGGCTGATTTGTTCTAAGAGAAAAACACTGTTCCGACTGAAAAAACAAGCTGAAAAGTACGGATTATAAGAGAAGCGAACAGGACCTTAGAGGTTGGATAGAATCCGTGTCAACTAAAAGACATAAATTAGCATATATCATAGTAGAAAGCTTCTCCTTCCACCTTCTAAAGGTGGACTTAAGGTGGAAGCATCAATCATAAGACCTTTTTTTGAAATTTGAGAACCATAAAATCAATTTATTTAATTTCCTCTAACCAAAATTTGGGGCTAAAAATCCCAAAATTTGGAACCCTAAATGAAACCATTGATTTGATAGAGGAGCATGCAAAACAAGCGAATATAGTATAGACTAAGGTCATGTCTGGATATCTAGGTAAATAGTTCGGTGGGTAATAGTTAATAACTAATACTAGTCGTATTGTTTGGATCCAGCAGCTAAAAGCAAATGCATTGTGATTTTGTCTATAATTCCTTTCATCTTTAACTCTTATACAGGTAGAAGAAAAAATGATTTTGGCAAATTATTAGCTGGGTTGGTGTAGTTAGTGATATAATCCTTCAATTTTGAAATTATAAGATGTTTTAGCTTTTCTAGATTGATATATTTTGTTATGCACTTAGAGATAGCGTATGTCTAAATACATGGTAAAAATAATGTATCTAAAAAAGTTAAAACATCTTGTAATTTGAAATAGATGGAATAGTTATTAGCTAAGAGTCCAGCTAACAGTTAACTCATCTATTAATTAGTTGATCCTGTTTTAATTTAGTATAATTTTTTTAGCTGGGTGGATCCAAACATCAATTGCCTGATAGTGATTGCATATGGGCTGAGCTGCTCTTGCCATATGCCATTTCTGCGGGCCACCCTGGGTGTTACTGGTCTCATTTTTTTTTTGTGACTTGTTACGAGTCTCATTTGAGAGGATGCCCAGTACCTCAGCCATATATGCTTTGACATGGGTGTTTGACCCGACCTGGCGCCAGCAAGGTCAATGCAAATTAACAGCATGTTCATTTGGTTGGTTTTAAATAGGAGCTTATTAGCCAAACCAACAGTGTTTTTCATCTCACAATAAACCAAAGATCAAATGTATTTATCAAATTTTAAATCAACCAAATAATGTAGTAAAAATTTGGTCACATTTCAGCTAATCACTAACAAGCCTAGCTAGCTGTTAGTGAATAGCAAGCTTGACCAAGTCAACAGGACCAGTGAACACTGAAACCAAACAATATAATAAGAAACCAAAAAGAAATTACAAAGAGGGAATGAATTTTGGGAGCAGGGATTGAGATTAGCAGATCACTGATCAGCATGACTCAGTACTGCTGCTAACTTTGGTGATCGTCCCTTTGTTTTGTTTACAAGGCTACTCTCCTACTATGGCCTAATATAATAGTGGCGAGATGATTATGTGAGATTGACCGAACTTATTAATTCGGTCAAGCGTCATTAACCTATAGTGTTGCCTTGCTGGTGCCTGGCGTGGTGCGGGCATGCCAACCGGTGTGCGTGCGTGAAGCGAACGGGGCGGGGCCCACGGGCGGTTGGTGAGCGGGGCGGGCCGAACCACGCGGCCTCCCCCGGACTTGGGGCCCACGAGTCAGCGGCAGTCTCAGCAGGAAGGCCCGCGGTGTTTGGTGGGTACGGGTCGCTGTCCCCCACCCAACCCAACCCACCCGTTATACAGGCTTACAGCGGCGTCACTCCCCTCGGCCGCCGGATCTGACCAAATCCGATCCGACGGCGGCGGGCCTCCGCTGCGGCCGTGCCCGGGGGCTATAAATGGGCCGGCGCGCGGCCCGGCACGGCGTGCGCTGCGGCCGGGTCGGATCTGAGACGAGACGAGTCCCCCCTCCCCCAACCGGAACTTGTTACCATCTCATCCCACTCCACCCACCCGCCGCCTCCACCGGATCTCGTCGGACTCGGATCCGCCCGACCACCCCGCGCCGCCGCAGCAGCAGCAGCAGCAGGTGAGCATCCATCCCTTCGTCCCCTCTACTCTCCTTCGGTCCGCCTGCCCAGGCGCCGGCGCTCTGCGTTCCGGTGCCTGATTCCTGTCCCTTCGCCGTAGGGTTTTGTTCTGTTTTGTGTAGCAAGGCGTTCCTAGGAGCAGCGGGCTCTTCATCCGCTGCCCGCAATGGTTGGAGTAGGCTCCGGCACGCGTCTTGCGCATTCCTTGCCGCCGTCGAAGAAGAAGGCCAAAGCCCAGGTTGGGGGCTTGCCATGATAGGTTTCCTGGTTTCGTTCGTTCGTGCCGCGAAATGTTTTGTTTTTCCCTTAAATTAATTATAATCCGATAGTCAAGGAGGGGGGTCTCCCTTCTTTCACACGCACCTGTTCGGAGTGGTAGTGATGGTTCTTGTCTTGTCGCGTTCCACGAGACGGGAAATGAAAGAAGGGCAAGGCTCCACACGTGGTTGGACGAGACGATCTCGTTGGAAAACCGTCCGTGTTGTTAGAAAAAATCTGAGCTTTCGGGTCAACATGTACATACGTGTGCTAATCCGAATTTTCTGCCGGCGAAACATGTGTGCAGGAACTGCATAGGGCTGCTATGTTTACCGTAGATTGTAAAGGAGGTTGCTGCTGAAATAATACGGATGCTGATTGCATCTGTATTCTTCTAAAATAGTTGGGGAGAAGAACTGTCGATTAGTTTTGTCTTATTAGTCTATAAAGAAACCACATGCTATGCTTCACACTTTTTGCTAGGCAAGCTGCACGGGGTTCAGGGGATTTCAGAAAATTTATTATTTCTGCAAGCTGTCTACAAACTTACAGCTACTGGTTCTTGCTTTTACCATGTTCTGTAGTGTTGTTTCGAGTGCATTGTTGTACCTGTGTGAAGGTTGCTGCTAAAATGGCAGGGGTCCTCAGTATCTTTGCCAGCAATTGTTAGCGAAAAATGATCCTCTACCAATAAACCACATGTTCTAAAAACTTATTAATAGGCCAGCTGTGTGTAGGATTTGTCAACGTTTCTTTTTGCTACCTGAGCAGAGGATTTGTGGGTGTTTCTTTTTACAAGCTAGCTGCCAGCTTATGCTTTTATTATGCTCATGATGTTGCTTTATACTCAATTCCAATTTATAAGTTGTTTTGGCTTTTCTAATACATTGCTTTTGCTATGAACCTAGATATTTGCTATGTCTAGATTCATAGCAAAAGCTATGTACCTAGAAAAGCCAAAATGACTTATAATTTGGAATAGAGGGAGTAGAAACTACTTTTCCATCCTGCAACATGTATTGGAAGAATATAATTTGAGTGGTTGTTTTCTTCCTAGAATCTTGTTACACAACTTGTTATTCTTGTGCTGATTCGGGTCGAGGCTTGGTAGATTCCTCTTGCCTTATCCACTAAAGCACAAATGCGGAGCATATTCTCGTATGAGTGGATCAGAAATGCCAAACTTTTGTCAGTGGGACTTAGTTGACTCTGCGTGAAGAATCTCTCAACCAGAAATTGTGGTCTTCTTATGTGCCAACAAATATGCCCTTTTTGTGCTTGATTAGTAGCCTAGCACTTTTTATTGTTGTCTTTTGTTGCATGAAGCAATAGGAAAAATTCTGACAAAGCATTTTTGCCCAAAAGGAGTACAGTGTTTGCTTGCGCCCTGCGAATCCAGATTGGTGAACAATAAATCGCTTAATTGTTGCTATCTAAACATTTCCATAAATCGCTTAGTTATTGCCCTTATATAGGAGTACATCAACCTTGTTGGTCATGCAATTTGTTTGGTTATGAGAATTCTCACTTTGCCTTAGCCATTTTGTTTACTTATTTTCTGTAACTAATCATTTGTATTGTCTGCTGCAGATCAGAGAAGATGGCCGCAGTTGACACCTTCCTCTTCACCTCGGAGTCTGTGAACGAGGGACACCCTGACAAGCTCTGCGACCAGGTCTCAGATGCCGTTCTTGACGCTTGCCTTGCTGAGGACCCTGACAGCAAGGTTGCTTGCGAGACCTGCACCAAGACCAACATGGTCATGGTCTTTGGTGAGATCACCACCAAGGCCAATGTCGACTACGAGAAGATTGTCAGGGAGACCTGCCGCAACATTGGTTTCGTGTCAGCCGATGTTGGGCTTGACGCTGACCACTGCAAGGTGCTCGTGAACATTGAGCAACAGTCTCCTGATATTGCTCAGGGTGTGCATGGCCACTTCACCAAGCGCCCCGAGGAGATTGGAGCTGGTGACCAGGGACACATGTTTGGGTATGCGACTGATGAGACCCCTGAGCTGATGCCTCTCAGCCATGTCCTTGCCACCAAGCTTGGTGCTCGCCTCACTGAGGTCCGCAAGAATGGAACCTGCCCCTGGCTCAGGCCTGATGGGAAGACCCAGGTGACAGTTGAGTACCGCAATGAGGGTGGTGCCATGGTCCCCATTCGGGTCCACACTGTCCTCATCTCTACCCAGCATGACGAGACAGTCACCAATGATGAGATTGCTGCTGACCTGAAGGAGCATGTCATCAAGCCTGTCATCCCTGAGCAGTACCTTGACGAGAAGACCATCTTCCACCTTAACCCATCTGGTCGCTTTGTCATTGGTGGACCTCACGGTGATGCTGGTCTTACTGGCCGGAAGATCATCATTGACACCTATGGTGGCTGGGGAGCCCACGGTGGTGGTGCTTTCTCTGGCAAGGACCCAACCAAGGTCGACCGCAGTGGAGCCTACGTCGCAAGGCAGGCTGCCAAGAGCATTGTCGCCAACGGCCTTGCTCGCCGTGCCATCGTCCAGGTCTCCTACGCCATTGGTGTGCCCGAGCCTCTCTCCGTGTTTGTTGACACGTACGGCACCGGCACGATCCCTGACAAGGAGATCCTCAAGATTGTGAAGGAGAACTTTGACTTCAGGCCTGGCATGATCATCATCAACCTCGACCTCAAGAAAGGTGGCAACGGGCGCTACCTCAAGACGGCGGCCTACGGCCACTTTGGAAGGGACGACCCTGACTTCACCTGGGAGGTGGTGAAGCCCCTCAAGGCGGAGAAGCCTTCTGCCTAAGGCACCCTTTTTTCAGAAGAATCTTTTGGTCTGCTGCGCTTATCATGTTTTATTATATGGCTTCTATATGTTGTGATTCTTGATCTGCCCCTTGCTTATCATTTGTACTTGTACTGTCCTAATAAGTGGTACTTGTGAGGGTCTTATTGTGTCTGCTTATTTACCTAGAGGATTATTTCTGGTTTTACTGCTTATGTAATGCTTAAAACAATGAAACAAGCTACAGGCTACAGCTACTTTGATAAGTAATGGGACCTCGTGCATTTTGGTTATATATTGCAATGCTGTGAGGTGTGATTGTATTGCCTTGGGCATTGGTGTGTAATGGGACCTCGTGTATGTGACTAGTGAAGCACTGAAGCTGCAATGGCTAATGTTTGGTGAAGCTGCAGTGGCCGAGTGTATGTGTTTGTGGAAGCTGCAACCTGCCTGGTAACTGAACATCGCTTTCTTGTGTCTGGTGACCTGTAGAGTAATGCTGCCCACCTGTTGTTGACATTAGGTGGTAGTTGGTGAGCAACCAGAACCAGAAGGGGTTTAGTTCTATTAATCGGTCAGAATATATATCTCCTAGGTCTGATGAGGTGAGCTGTCAATTTTCGCAGCAACCCGGAGTGCATCCCATTCGCAGGTCAGCTGTGCATGTCAGTGACAACTCAACTGAAACTCTGAATCTTCTCTTCTGGTAGACCATCGCCCATCAGCAAAGTGATTTTTGGTCTGTCACCCTCTCAACCTCTGCTGATGTACTGCATCTGAATTCTGACGATCATGTCGAGTCAGCTTTTGGGTGTGTTTGGGCCTAAATCTGTGCAGCTGTGGCTTATAAGCCGTACTTTTTCAGCCAACGAATAGTATTTTTTTCTCACAACAAATCAGCCAACAGTACTTTCAGCCATGGCTTATCAGCCAAACGAACAGAGCACTGCGAATGTGCGATGATTGGGATATCACACAACTTGGAGAGGACAGCGCAAGAGGATTTCCGTTCCATCATGTTGGAGATGAGATGACCCAAACCAGATTGCCGAAGATGCAACGCAATGCAACCGGCTGTCAGTCTCAGGTTCGGCAAGGTGGCACTGTACTGCACACCACACATGTACACCAAACTGAAACTGCAGGTGGAGCGACAGAGAGATGATAAACAAAGTACTTGCAGTTGTAGGAGTACTTGCCAAATGTAACTGACCAAATGCAAGTTGTCAGGTAAGTAATCTGCTGGTAGTTTAGCCAAATGCCAAAGGTACATGTGGCCTTGGGGAGCTTTTAGCAGCTAGTTTGCCTTCAAAGGCAGGGCACACCAATGGAGTTGACAGCGATGAGAATGGTGAGTGGGAGTATCTATTTATCACTGCAGGAAAGGAAAAAAATTGGGTGGAAACTGTATCCACCATGCCTCTCTATATACATGCTATAAATAGTTGTCACGTGTCCATTCTCACAAATCCAACGGCGCATGGCGGTGTTGGAAAAGCAGCGGCGTGGGAGACCACGATCGGAGAATGCGGAGTCTGCGAGGAACTCTTATAGACACGCCATTGGATATGTGAGACTGGACACTAGGCAACTATTTATAGCATATATGCATGGAGGCACGGTGGATACAGTTTTCACCCAATTTTTTTCTGGTTTTGGGGAGGGAGAACACTTGACAAATTAACTGCAAGTGCAAGGGACGAGAAGACAGAGAGGACCCAATCCATTTGGTTTGACTTGGTTTTATTGTTTAGCAGTTAGCACACAAAATGCCCATATAGGCCAAATTTCATTAAGAGGAAGGGGAGTATGGTATGCATTACAACCAAGATTTCATTAGGAGCACCCTATGACAGTATGATTACCCAAAGCGTTAATTGGAAATGCTAGCACAATACTGCAACCACCAAGCAGAAGCAGGAATGGGAATTTCTCGAATTTGATATGGTTAGCAGGATAGGAAATAATGACAAATGGTGGCAAAGCTGAAATCCAATCATCGTTTGTCGTTCCTTTGGAAAAACAAAAACAATCACCGGAAGGACGCGCCTGCGCTCTGGAACAAGAGAATCCAAGGCTGATAGCAAAAACATTCCCCTGACCCCTGAGGCTGGTTGTCATTGATCATTTTTTGATTAACAAGATACGGAGTAGGAAATCATGATCTGGAGGGCCTAAACCACATGCAGATCATCATTGGGTCGAAACTGATGAAAAGGGAGAATGAGGGGATGTACAGTACTCTCTGGCAGCTCAGTCTGGCTATCTGGAGAAACCTGATTGCAGATGACAGCTGGAACCGTTTCCTGTTCCTGTTCCTTCTGAAGATAACGCTCCTCTGTCGGTCCATTCAGTCTGATGGCAGTATGAACAAAACAGGCACAGACATGCTACATAGCATAAGTACTCTCTACTGGCAGTTAGGTCCTCACTTCTCTCTCTCTTTTTTTCTCATTGGCGGGGTTTAATTAATGAACTAGAGATTGGTGAAGCTTTTTTTTCCCCACCGACTTCGGCTTCTCGTGATACTGTCACGATAAACTAAAACCGTCTGAAACTCTGTCAGAGAGCATTAGTTATAAGTTTCAACCTCTTCTGCTTGTCTGTCAGTGAGGACCAAGAGTTAGAGACCGTACAGGTAACGGAAGCAGCACAGCATGTGAGACAGACAGACGGCTTGGTGAGCAGAGCAGGGGCAGGCAAGCTGCCAAGCCGACCTGACCCCACCTGACCGCCGCCGCGTTTGGTCAGTCAAATATAAGGCCGCCGTTTCAGGGCCCGCCCACCGCACGCCGGTGAGCTTACCTCCTCCTCCTTCCGTTCCTCCAATGGCCAAGGCTCAGCCTGCCACGTCACCATTAGTGAAGCACACCCCCTGTTCTACCAGGTCTTTGGTTTCTTTCCGCTCTGTCTGTCTGTCTGTCTGTCGAAACCTCGCTGATTTCATTCAGTTCAGTTCAGGCATGATGATCTTTTCGCTTCTTTCTCTGATGCAATTAAAATGGTACGTATTCTTTTCTCAGTCCTCTTTATCTTTTTCCAGTTCGAGAGGATCATTATATTTATATATGAATAATATGAATGCCACGTCAGTATCAAATCCCTGACGAGTGCTAGCTTGCTCATCATGGGCATCAAAAGTCAAATGGAAATGGTCTTGGCCGGTCTGTTGGCAGGAGGAGTTAGCGGCTCTCTTCACCTTTGGTACGGAGGCAACGATGCTTGCATTGTGTGGCTCTATCGCTCCCCGTGTTGCTAAGCTTAAGCAGACCGATTCAACTGTTAGATCGATCGACCTCGACCAGATGCATGGTTGACCCCGTGCATGCAGTTGTTTGATATATTAAATATCAATACATTTTCGGATACTTATTCTATAATGGATTTCATTATGCTTACTTGATACCTTAAATATCAATACATTTTTCCTAGAAAATATTTAAATTGAAGATGGCTTGACTTAGCACCGTAGCTAGAATTGTATTTTTTTTTTCGAATAGAGGGAGTATGCAACTCTAGAACTGAAAAAAAAATTAAAAGTTCATGACTTGACCGACTCTCTCGCTTGTTTCTTTCTTTTTATTAATGATGATGATCTAAGCCAGCATTTTAGCCGAGAACATCACAAGTCAATAACACAGATAAAGTACCAAATTAATTTAATGTTGTGACTTGTGGTGTCTGCTGTATATTGTACTCAGTTATTTCTGACATCATATTTGCATGAACTAGTTACTGCTTACTGTTTTTGCATTTGTTAACAATCTAACTCGTGAGCTAAACGAGTTTATTCCAAACCACCTTGTTGCGAGCCATAATAACCTATGTTGCCTCGTTAACCGGCCTTATCTATATATGATGGTATGGCTTTATTTTCTTTGACGATATAAACAGTACCCAACGACATCGGCCTGCATATTATTGCATCTCAGATAAAGTAATGTATACATCATCATGCTATCTCTTTGTACATCGAGGGCTTGTCTGGAATGGAGGATTTTCAAAGGAAAAGTAGAGAAATTGATTCTTTAGGAAAGTTTTCTCAGCTTGCTGTTTGGAACAAGAAAAAACTCTGCATTCCATTCCGGATGAAAGACTAACACAAAACACATGAAGAAAAAAAACATCCAAGGAAACCAAGTTCTGAGTTCTGACTGAAACTTTGCTTCTTGGGCACATGCGACATTTTTGTTTCCTGCAATCAAACACCCCAAAGTTTCTATTATGTTTTTTGATATCCTATAGTTTTCTACTTTTCATATATGTTATTCCTGTTTTTTTCATTTCTTTGTTTTACGATCTTGCATTCCAAACAGGCCCCAAATGAAAATGGAAAATTTAAGAGCACTGACTCTTTCTCGATGGCTGCCATTTCATTCCCTTTCATCTCATGACGATGCTTGCATCGCCTCACTTGCAAAAGACTCATATGTCTTGTAATATAGCTAAACAATCTCGGTGCTTTTCTTTGGCAGCAGTGCCAGCCAAAACTAAAGTTCATTTTATTGGCACATCTACATGGAAAGGTGGTTGGTGTGCACGCAAAAATAGAATTATGTGGGGGTGGGTGGGTGGGTGGGTGGGGGGGGTATGGAAATGAAGGTGAATAGTATTTCCTGCATACATCCTTTTTAACACCAGTAGACACATAGGCTTCAGTCTCGATTGGGAACAACCTTTAGTCCCCGTTTTCCCAACCGGGATTACGGATTTGGGACTTTAGTCCCAGGTGCACAACCGGGACGAAAGCCCATCCTCGAGACAAAAAAATAATTTAAATCCCGGAAACCTCTCTTGTGGTGCATGAGATTTTTTTGAACCCAGGATCTCTTGGCTCGTGTATAACTTTCTTACCAACTCAACTGCACAACACATGTGACAAAAGTCCTGAGCGCTCTCATTTTAAATTTACCGTGAGAGACCTTTAGTGAGAGACCTTTAGTCCGGGTTGGTGTTATCAACCAGAATTAAAGGGTCAAGGCTCTTTAGCCCGGGTTAGTAACATCAACCGGGACTAAAGG